GCCCTCTCGCGAAGGGACGGGTGCAGGGGGAGGGGACGGACGGGAGGGAGGTTATGTTTGCGTGTCTCTCTCTATATATATACACATAGATTGTATATACATCTGTGTGTGTGTGTGTGTGTGTGTGTGGGGTCAGCACGTTGTTGGAGAGCGCAGCAGGCTAGCTCAGCTCAAGCCCTTCATCCTTCTGCAAGGGCTGGGACTCTGTAATGCTGGCTGCATCACTGGCAGTAAAATCGAGGAGCCTGAGGGAGGGGGGGGGCTGGAATGTGGAGGGGGCCTTAAACGAGGACTTTGGATGCTTTCCCGCGCAGAGCACGTTCCACTGCGTCTTGTTCCCAGCTCTCCTGAAACCTTGGCATCACATTCGACTCGCTGTATCTGCCGCAGCCAAAGACATCAGCACAACGTTCAGATTCTGCTTCTGACGAGCAAAGTAAACACTGCGGCCCTTGGGGTCGGCAGCTATCTGGGCCATCTGAACATGATAGCTCCGACAGGCCTCATCTCTGCGAGACGAGAAGGTTCGATCAGAGCATCTTGTCTTGCAGACCCTGCAGGGCCACTTCTGGGATGTGTCATTCCGCTCCCAGGCGTGGGGGATTCTCTGGGGCCCAGGGGCCTTGGGGCCTAGCAGAGGAGGAGCTTCGCCAGTCCAAGCCACGCGGGCACGACAAGCGCCTGCCGCACTGGGCTGGTCCACAGTTTTGCCCCCGAGAGGCCAAAGCTTTGTTGCTGGGTTTTTGGTCCCACAGACTAGCATCATACCTAAGCCATTTGGCTGGAAGAGGACGGGCCGGGCTGGCTTCCTCGATCTCATTGGTCGGGGGTTTCATCAGCATCCGGGCTCCTGGCTTCGCGAATTTGTTTACCAGGTCGTTACCAGTGGCATCCAGCCACTCGTTCGAGCACTGGGCAAAACTAGACAGCTCCTGGTGATCTTTGATTTCTCGATTGAGAGTCCGCGATGCCAATACGCTGCCTACTATGGCACCCAGCATACACATCAATGACACCTTGATCATCAGTGACTATCTTGCTAATGGAGTGAGGGGAGGAGGATGAGACAGAGGCAAGCACAGCAAGGTGCTCAGCGGAGGAGGGGGATTGGGGGAGGTTGCGGCCTAATGGGCCGTAAGTTGTTGCTGTCATATCTCCAGCCTCATCAATGGCGATGCCTGCAGATGCTGCTGCATGAAAATCTTGAGGACCCTGCTTTAGACAAGATCCGTCTGGGGATACTGTCGCGGGGCCAAACGACCTTTAGCTCCAGGCCCAGGCCCTCGGCGGCTCCCGAAACCTTGCAAAACACTTGCCTGGACCGGAAACTTTGACGGGTCCTTCAGGGCTTGAGCGTTAGCTTCTTCAAGGTATTCACCTCTGAGGGGGGCAGCCACTGGGCATTTCACGAGCCTATGATGTAGATCGTCAGTCTGATGTCCACATTGGCAAATCGTTTCCGTTGGATAGCCGGCCTTTTTCAATCAAGTATGGGTCCAAATGCATTGGGCCAGGAAAGCCAGGAGGGTTGTTTTGTCAGACTGCTTGAGTCTTGCTTCCTTTAGAACTTGCCTAGCCGTGGACGTGCCGAGCACTTCCCTCAGTCCGAGCTTCTTGGAGGCTGGCACGTGCAACTTGTGGTCCCAGGCATGCTTCATTCAGGTAGAGAGGGAGAGGTCGAGGTCAAAATATGAGTCCTTTGATCTTGATCAATCAGCTTGAAGGGGGTACCCAATCTCCATCCCAGGTTGCTCCGAAAGGTCCACGACATTCGCTCCACTTTCGAGGTGGGATCTCCAGGACTGCTGCTGCTAAATAACAGAGTTGAGGCAGTCCATGGCCTGGCGAATGCTGTCCTATCATCGCCAGACCAGTGCCGACCAAGTGATGATGGGGCCTACTCCAGGCCCTCAACAGGGATTTCCTAGCAAACATCAAGCCAGAGCGCTGGACCTTGTAGCCTGGACCTGCTTTTTGAAGATATAATGTTCGAGCTTCGTTGAGTTCTTTATCGTCCACCCGCACCACATCCGCTTCGTAGAACTGGGCCTACCCGAAGCCCGTGTTATAAAGCTTAGGTATGTTAGCTCCTGCTTTTCGTGCAGCTCGTATTGTGGCTAGTCGTCCTGGTACTTTAAGCTTGGCATATCGCTCGCGTAGCTTGCTGCTGGTGTGTGCGTGTGTGGGGGGTGGGGTGGGAGGGAGGTGGGGGGTTTTGGGAGAGGAAGGAGAGGGAGGGAGAGGGAGAGGGAGAGGGAACGCGCACCGGTTCGAACATAGTCTGGCCAGGCCCGCGGGAGCAGCCTCCCGCCGGGCCAGCCTCGGAAGGCGGGAGGTGCCGCTTGTGAGAAGCAGGGGTGGAGAGGTTACCCTCCCCAATTGGCGCGGTCTTTGGGGGCCTCGACTGGAAAGGAAAGCGGGGCGTGGCGATAAGGGCGAGGCTCAACCCTTCTGCACCCCCGCAGACAGACACGCGCCAACTGTATACACGGTTTCGCCTGCGCGATGCGGCGCCCAGGGCAATGGCGGCATTGTCTTGGGGCATGCCCTGCGGCGGCCCATGAACAACGGAACAGGTGCGAACTGTTCGCAGAGCCCACCTTTCAAGAAGGAGACGCTAGCGTTGGTGTGCCGCTCGTTGCGCAGCCAGGCATGCTTGGAGGCTTCCTTGGAGGGGCACCCCAAGAGAAACAATAGGTCGGAAGGCCTTCTGAAACGCACCCTGGGGAACTTGGGCTCAGTGGAACTTGTCGAGCAGCGGGGCAGAATGCTCCTGGATGAGCTGGAGATATTGGGCAGGGTGATTGTCCCGTTGCTGGAGCGCGTTGATGGTAGCGAGAAGGACCGCTTCGCGATCACCCGCTGGCTCTTGTCTGGCCGCTGAAGTGTGCTGCGTAAGGGATTGCCTTCGGTCCTTTCGCGGGGTCCCCGTCCCACTGGGGCCTGTTCCGTCGTAGGGCGAATGTTTCTGACTGCTCCCCGTGCCCTGGTGGGAGGAGGAGGAGGTGGCCTGGTGGTGAGGGAGATTCGTAGTGGCTGCCTGGTCCTGTTGACCGCGGGTGGTCTGCCCCTGACCATTCGGCAGTCTCGGCTAGTGCGCGTGATGATCGTCGCGGTCGCCGTGCCCGTCACTGCTGTGATTTTGGGAGGAGGGAGCATCGTTACCTTCGTCTTCGTTCAGGGAAGAGCCTCGCCCGAGCGGGTCTTGTTTTTCGCCGCCGAAATCCTCGAGCAGGCCCGCCAATGGATCATCGAGGTGATCGGAGTAGTCGGGCCCTGGTAGACCGTCGAGATGAGCGGGGCCGCCTTGCGAGTCTGATGGCCAGGGGCCGCGCAGGCCAACGGCGAGAGTTCTGGGCTTCATCTGGTCGAGCACAGCCCTTGAATGGCCCGCCCTGCTGTCTGGCAGGGGAAGCGTCTGGTGGCGCAGGTCATAGATCGCGACAGCCGTGCTGTGGAGGACGGCAGCGAGTTAGTGTCGCCATTTCGCTTCGTCGATGAGGCCTCGTGGTGCGCTTTGCAGGCGCGTGCCAGCCGTGGCAAGGTCATCGGCGTGCGGTTGAATGCTTCCGCGGTCGGCGTGGTGCGCCCCTCGCTGATGCGCTGCTCGCCTAGGTGATTTTCTACCTGCTGGACTTTGGACATGTCTGGTTTGGCGTTGAGGGCGCGGTGGGTCTTTTGCCCATGGTCGGCCTGGGCACGCGGGCGTTGCGGTGGTTTGCCGCTGAGGAGGCCCTCGAATCATCGGCGAAGTTCTGAACGCGCCGTTCAGTATGTCTCAGCCCGCTGAGCGGACCGCGCCATGCCGCGCGCGAGAGCTGAGTGATTTAACAGGTTGTCTGGGCCATATTAAACTCCGGAGCCAGCCCTGGCGAGGAGCGGGTTTGCCTGGTGCGAGCAGGCCCCGTCTGTGGCTGCATGCGCGCGTCGAGGCCCAGCGTCGTTTGCGCGCTCCTCGCGGGGGTCGCCATCGAGGCCCTCGGGCGGCGGCCGCGGGATGGGCTGTGGGAGCTCATCCTCTGCGAGGGCAGCGAGGGGATCAAGGTGCTGGGGGTCTTCCACAAGGGGGCCGCGGCGTTTCGTGCGCGTTCGGCAGTTTTTGTCCAACGTTGCTCGGTGATCATGGCTGTCAGAGCAGTCCTCTCGGATTCCCAGCGCGGGCATTTCAGGGCAGCGTGCCTGTGGGTTTCTTCTTCTTAGTGTTCTTCATGGTTGTGCAAGTTGCGCGGGGGGTGGGTCGGCAGAGGTGATGGCTGCGACTTTTATCTGCTGGGCGTTCCCACCCCGCGAAGGTAGTTGCGCGGGGGGCCTGGCGGCCATGTTGTGGGTTTAGTTTTGTTTTTCGTTCACCTGTTTGACCGCTTCGACGGCGACCGGGCCGCGCCCGATAGCTGGGTGGCGCCGCGGGGGTGTTTTTTCCGCGACGCGCGGGATATGTGCGCGAACAATCCCGCCGGCAGGTGAATCCGTGCAGGCGCGCGCCCCAATCGTTGCGCATCGTTCCGAACGCTGGCCAACTCCGCTCGAGTGGGGCGACGGCTGGCCAAACACTACCAGCTGGGCCTCCTCCTGGTTAGGGTTGCGCGTGATCGCGCAGCTTTTCGGCTTCGGCTTTGAGACTGGTGTCTCGCCGTGCTCGCCTGCTCGGCCTAGGCGCGCCCCCCTTGGCGCGGCGGCGCCTGGGTCGATGGCGCGCCCAGGCGCGGCGAGAGCCGCAGAGGGCCACTTGCGAGATGGCCAGATGGCTGCGAGCGCTGCGCTGTCTCTGAGGTTGCATTCTTGCCGGGCGCTAGGATATCGCTGTTAGTGGTGCTCATGCAGGCAGCGAGGGGCCTTGCTGATCGTGCTCTCGCTTGGGTGCCTTCGGGGGGTCGCCCGATGCGCGGTGGTCTGGCGACGGCCCGTCGCGCCCGGGCGTCGGCGGCGGCCTCGAGGTCCATGCGGGCGTCGCCCCCTGCGGGTGCTTCGTTGATGTGGCTCCCTGCAAGCTTCGCCTGGCG